GCCAAACACGAGCACATAATATTATTATTGAGACAGGGCGGTACTCAAACTTCCAAAGGGCTATAACTTTGTTACTTTAATTTTACCAGAAAGATGGTAAAGGAAAAAAACATTTCTTTTGATCAGATCTACTCACTGTTAAAATAAATGATTCAACTTCGAAGTCACCCTGTATATACAGGGAAATGTCGCACCCCCATTTCTGACTATCCTGGTAATCTTGAGAAAAACTCTCGGACACGTCAATTTCGATTTGGGGGGACATCTTTTCGTTTATAGCCGTACAATACAGAGAGATCCAAAAATAAGATATTGCGTTACAGCCATTTTTTTAATTTTTAGATTTTCCAAGAAGTTTCTTTAAGTTATTTTTTGTTTTTCGGATACTCGGAGAATTGTTTTTAATTTTAAAGTAAAGTCTTGTTACTATGGGAACTATATTGATGATTATTTTTACGATAAAATCCCTTATTATCACTATTTCTAGAATTTTATTATAAACATAAATAGCTTCACAACGATTGAGGATGGATATAGACTTTATAATACAAAGGTTATTAAAAACTTCATGGAGAATCTAAAAATAAAAAAATGGCGGTTTTTTTGGATCACCCTGTACTATTCGGCCATAGATGAAAAGACGCCCCTCAATCAAAATTGACTTGTCTGAGCGATTTTCCCAAAATATACGAGGAGAGTCACAAATAGGGGTGCGACCTTTTTGTTGGGCTGCCCTGTATAATGTTTTCGAAACGTTTGCTACTGAAATAGAAATATAATGTATAATAGACTTTCGAATACTGTATCAAAAGCCCCATCGAATGCATCAGAAACTATTGATAAAGTAGCTGTTTGAAATTCTCTACCGGAAAACTGGCCCAGCGTCCCAAAAATGACTTCAATTTTATTGTGAAATCCAAGATAATTTAGATAATCACATAATAAAACGTATGAACCAAGTGTATATCGTTTACCCATTAGATAGAGGATGCCTAATCGAACAAAGCAAAATACTGCATCGCTGTGATTCATATAACGCTACCAAGTGCATTTAATTATGAACGATTATCATAATATGGCAATCGCTATTATAGCAATTCAGAAAAGGTAATTTATTTTGTTCTGTATCGCAATGGTTGGTGTTACAACGCCGCCTTTACGTGTGTGTAGTGCGTGAGTGACGACATAGTAAAATGTGTGAGTGTCAGAATAAGTTAAAGAATCAAATTGGTGGGACTTTGAAATTTTTCGTGAGTACCGATTAAATTTTTTTCATAACTTCGTCATATACGCGATTCTACGGGGTGTTTCAGTTTATTGTTGCATAACTTGAAGATTCGATAGAACTTTTAAAATTAATGCATAAAGTCTAAATAAACATGGGTCGAAAAATGCGTGGCTTCCGAAATACATGTACTTTCTAAAATAGTTTTTTTAAAATATTTCGAACAATATTTGATGTACAACAGTGAACTTTGGTATACAAGGGTTTTTTGGTACGACAAAACGAACCATGGGCATAGTTTTACTGTAGCCGCTAGACGGCGCTCTCTACTGTTCCTGTATTGAATTAAAATGACCGAACATTTTTTCTTAGTGCATTTTTTTGCTTTTGAATAAAAAAACTGATTCTTCGCACTTTTCTGCATAAAAAAGCTCTCTTGTGAGTTTTCGTTATAGTTAGCCGTTTTGGAGATATTTCGATTTTTAAGGTTCGATGCATTTTAATTATTTATGGGAAAATAATATTTTTTTTTTACATTTTCGATTTGGGCATTACAAGTAATTAAGATGATCGTTTTAGATTGTGTTTTTAAACACAGCAATAATTCCTAACTCCAAATAAACACAAAAAACAGAATATTAATTTGTTTCATTTTCCAATATTATTTTTAACAAATTAAATTAAGTATTTACAACTAAAATGCTATTGGATAGTTAGGACAAACATACAGAATCTAAAATAGTTGCTCGAAATGTAAACCCAATTGTTCAATACCCAATTCACATCTACGAATGATCGAACGTGGTATAGCATATTCAAATAAGGCCTTATTTCATCACATGCATTCCTGATTCTGTCTATTAGCACATCTCTTGTGGTTACGGGAGTCTGGTACACTTTTTCTTTAGAAATCCCCAAACAAAGAAATCTGATGGATTTAGGTCAGGGGATCGTGGAGGCCAGGCGAGTGGTCCTCCGCGGCCGATCCATCTTTCTGGATAATTTTCGTCCAGCCAGTTTCTAACTATTCTCGAATAATGAGCTGGACAACCATCAAGCTGGAACCAGGCCAATCTTCTTAATCTAACATAAGATCATCCCACATATTTGCATGTTCAGCCTTTAAAAATTCCAAGAAGGTCGCAGCATTTAACCTTGCAGGCAAAAGGTAGGGTCCAAATAGTCGATTATCACCAATCCACACGTTCACACTAAATTCATGCTGAACATTTCTTTCCCGAACTGCATGCGGATTTTCATGCGACCAAATATGTTGATTATGAAAATTTACCACTCCACGTCTAGCGAAGCATGACTCATCGGTCCATAAAACGTTACTTAAAAACTCCCTATTATTATCAGTTCTATCAAGTATCCACTGACAAAATGTGATTCTTCGTTTTCCATCCCCTGGCTGTAGTCCTTGCACAGGTTGCAAATGGTAAGGACGTCTATGGTCATTTCTAAGAACACGGTGAACATGGCTTGCTGAAATTCCCAAGGCACCAGAAACTCTCCTAACACTTGTGGTCGGATCTCTATCAAACTCACGCAGAATCATACGGGTAAATCTGCGCTGACGAACATTTATGTTTTGATCCCTTTGGAGATCGTCGGTGGACATACTAGATTTTAAATTTGATGTTATAGTGCTAACTGAAACATTCAAAGTATATGATACAAGTTTGATCGAAATTCCCAATTATGATTTATATTATAACGATGGTAGTTTTAATAAAAATGACGGGGTTCTGATTTACGTAAGACAAAATTTGAACAGTGGGTATGAAATTATTAATATAACTCAAACAAAACTTTTACGAGTTATTCTTCAAAAGAATAATAAATGGATACAGATCATTGGTGTGTACAAATCACCCTGTATATCTGTAACAACATATAACGGTCAATTACATGATTATCTAGAGAGTAGTAGAAAATTTGTCATCAACTTATTCATTGGAGACCTTAACATTAACATATTAGATCATAACAATCAACATATTCAAGATTATTAAATATAATGGCTGAACATGGTTACCTATCAGCCATTAACGAAATGGCAAGAGTAGAGGGAAACAGTGGGAGCTGTATAGATCATATGTTTATAAATTCACGTTTAGAACTTGACAAAATATATTCAGCAATTCTAAAATACAAAATTTCGAAAGTACATCAACCAAAATTGAAAAGGCAGTGAATAATACAAAAATTTACATTGATTATGAAAAACTAAATAACAACTTATAGTCAACGCCAAACAAAGTGGCGTGCACGTCATCAAGGTGGGTGTGTTGAAAAATTTACATTGTTGCCAAACTTTTTGTAAAATAATAAAATTTATTATTTACATATCTAGGTTATAAGCAATATTAACCTCAAATGAGAACAAAAATAATAGTATAATAAAATTATAGATCTGTACTTGCATAATCATTAAGTATGACAATTATTGATCAGATGACACTATGAAACTACCATATTTAATTGATAGCTTAAAGGTACTGAATAAAAATCCAAATGGGGTCCTCCAAATTTTATGCATGGTATTTATTTTACAGAATTCATACAGAAAAATGCATTCTAAAATTAGGTAAGCTACTGGTGTAAGCTTTTTCTGTACAATAAAGTTAGTCGGAGTTTCTTTCTTCAGCGCTGTCTGAATCTGAATCTTCATCACTCTCAAAGTTGATTATTAAAGGTTCGATGTCTGGTCGATCAAAAATTCGTTCTCTTTCATACCATTTAAAAATTTCTTGCTCAGTATGTCGAACACTATTTTTCCACATGTCTGGGGTAAACCGTTTGTAGAGCCTCGTTCACATATCCAAACAGTCTTTTTCACTGGTTACCATCTCTACCAATATGTCTGTTATAGTAACCTTTTGCTATGCCCAAATTAAACTCAATAGGGTTAAATATACAATGGTAAGGAGGCAGACGAAGAACTTTGTGGCCATGTTGTTCCGCCAATTCATCAATCACGTATATTTTAGGTGGTTTGTTTCTAAAAAAGCAGTTAGTATTTAAGAATAGGAATAAACAAAAGAAATATAAACTGTCGACCAAAAATATATAAATTAAGAAGCATTATGTACCGAGCAACAATACTCAATAGCTCTGTTTATAAACATTGTGTTTAAAATGGTATGTTTGATTTGTCAACCAGTCTCTTGGATATTTTTTTTGTCCATGCATTGTTGGGCACTTTGTTCAATATCATGCTGTGATAAGGGGCGTTATCCAGTATAATCATAGAGGACTCTCCAATTTTTTCTAATAACTGATGTTGAAACCATTTCAAAAAATTGTCCTGGTTCATCTCTCCATGGTAATCGCTCAATTTTGTTTTCGAAGAAAATATCGCTTCACTACCCTCAATAAACCCATTTCATTTCCAGCATGTAATATAATGTATCTAAATATATTAGTTTTTAAATTTTATAGTGCAAATTGTGTAAAAGTACATACCTTTTACCATCTGTTTTAATAGCTTTCACGCTTTTTTTTTGGTTTCCATTTTGCCAAGAGCGACCTATGGTCCCATTTTGAAATATCCAAGTTTCATCGAGGAAGACAAACTGGTATAAGGCCTCAACCTTGGCTTGATTGTATTGCCTTAGAAATTCTCCCCCTTTTCAAAGCTATACTTGGTAGTTCCATGAGCCCTCGTCGCGGATTGTCCTTAAGCCACTTAAATCCAAGATCTCTAAGCAACCGCCTTAAAGACGTGGCACTACCATCAAATAATGCCCTATCTCTTAATCGAGACCATAAAGTTTGTATCGTAACTTGTTCTTCTGAAACCATGTGTAATATGACATTATAATTTAGTTAACAAAATTAATGCAAATTTCTGATAAGTTATTATAATAAGATCTACTTTGTGATACATATTATAGATCACTTCTCGAATGGCACTTGTATCCAATGTCGCTGTGTTGGTTACACGTTTAATATAACTCCGCTGTTTCTTGGGCGATTCTAAATTTACATCACTTTTCACACCCTCGGAAATACGACTAACTGTCCTTAAACTAATTTTTAAAGCAGCAGCAACACGCTACAAAAAATGAAATAAAATTTCACTATTATTAATATACATTACATATAATTATTAGTAACCTACCTCTTGAACAGCATTTTAAAGGCAACAAAGGCCCGTTGTTGTCCCTTTCTTGCTCAAAGTAGTGCATTAACGAGGCCACGAGTTCCTTACACCGACTATTTAACTGTTTGGGCATCTTTATATACCAAAATTGCCTTTATCTACTCGTAAAATGAATAATTTTGTTTTGAAACAAAACAGTTGTTGATTTACAGTATGCGGGGCCAAAGGATTTATAAAGATTTGAAATGCCACAATTTGATTCAGTGTCAAAATTAATACAAATGTCAGTTCCCAGTTTAAATAAGTTTCAACGGTGACAATGTGTCAACGCTGCGAAATCGGTTTAGTGCGTTTACATGTCGATAAGTGATTGGAGCGTTTGCAAAACATTTTATTTCGCATAATGCGTCTAAATTTATCAGAAAGCAACTTATGTGATATTTTAATAACAATGCTTATATGACTATTAACTATAATAAGAGAGTAATGACCATTTTACAATTTATATATCACATTAATATGAAACTGCAATAGAGCAATTGTTTGTGATAGAAACCTAGGCATTAGGTCGGGGAATTTTTATCGTGATGACGTTGCACCGCCACTTTGTTTGGCGTTGACTATACTCAATGAAAATTGGATTGTAGTATATAACGAACCTAATATTGAAAATGCATTTGTCCTTTTTATATCTAGCATTGAAGGCCATATTGCTGAATGCACCAAACAGTAAAGTTCCACGAACACAAATAAAAAGACAAGCATGGATAT